CAAACAAACAAACAGGTAGGTAGGTAGGTAGGTAGGTAGGTAGGCAGGTAGGTAGGTAGGTAGGTAGGTAGGTAGGTACCATAAAAGGAGAAAGTTCTTGCAAGAATGCTTGTACACAAAAATGCATGCAATTGCCATAATTTCTTTTGCTATGTAGGCTAGAGCACAAACTGTGTGAAATTAACTTTTTCTTATAAAATGTGAATGTCTTGAATAAAACAAGAGGGGAATTAATCCATCCCTACTCCAGAATAATATAAAACCACATCTATAGCAAATAAGCAAATGCCTTTTTACTTGTTGCTTCACGAATGACAAATACTGATCAGGACAACCTCTCTGGAGAGAGAACTTCAGGACTGAGGCCTACTAACTGAAATGGTTCCCAACTACCTTTGAGCACCTACCTGTCTTTTATCAGATGTTCAGAAGGCTAGAGTCTGAGCTGAAAAGATTCATGAGGGAGTCCTTGTTCTACTAGATCCTATGTTCCTATGCCACTTAAGGCTTTCAAAAGGTAAAAACCTAACATTTCAGATTCTGTTGGAAGTAGCCACAGAAACAGAATTAAAAATTGGGCAGGTACTTTCTCTAAACCCTGATCTACAAATAAATGTTTCACTATCTTTTGTAATGACTCTACTTTCCAATCAATCTTCAGAGGCAGGGTTCAGGAAGTAATCACTGTATTTTCATTTTAAATTAAGCCATATCTAACATACTTTCAGTTCTGTTTCTTTAAGTTACGTTTTAAAGAACTGTTTAATTGATGAAAGCACATCCTTAGCAAGCATTTTACAGTAAATTAAAAACTAATATTCTGTGACATTTATTATTATTGCAACAAAATAAAAGACACAGAACTATAAAGTGAGAGATGCAGTTGAAATCTGTATCAGCAATAATAACTACACCTCAGTAATCACATTCAGTAACTGTTTTACCTTAGCACATCCATTTCATCCTTCAGAGACTGAGCTTCTTCGGCCAGATTTGTTAATTCTTCATTTTGCTGCCGCAGTTCTACAATCTCCTTTTCCAGCTCTTCACAACGAATTCGGTAATCATCTTTTGCTGCCTCTAACCTATGAAAGAATAACAGAACAGATTTTAAAAACAGCAGCTTCCCGGTCTTGTACAATTAAGTATTTCACTCTCTCATACAATACTTACCTGAAAGTTTCTTCTTGAAGCTGTTCCAACTGTGTCTGTAGCTGTAAATGTCTACGTCCTGCTGGGCTGTTTGGATCCTCTATGGAATCAGATTGATTCAAACGCTCCATCAAGACCTGGTTCTCCGCTAGCAAGCTGCTTTTCTCCTCTTGCAGTGCAGCAACCTGTTACCAAAAATGCAACAGTAATACTAGACTATGCTAAAATTCTGTTGTCATATTTGCACCATATAAAGTTGATGATGTCACTAGCTGCAGTGATTTTGGGGGAATAAAACACTTCTGGTTTCTCCTCCACAAATTCCAACAGTCCTGTCCAAAAACACTGTCCTTCCTGATGAGATCATGAAGGTGTACCTTATGCAAAAGGACTTCAGCTAATGTACAGCAAAGAAAATACATTGATCCCGCAAATACATTTTAAAAGAACCAAAGCAGAAGTTCTAAATTAAATTAGAACAAAAAGAATTTCGGTCACTTGATTTCTTTTGTTTGCTCTACAGTCCTACATAGACAGGAAGAATATACAGTGGTGCCCCGCATAGCGAGGTTAATCCGTTCCGGATTAACCGTCGCTATCGGGAAACATCGCTATACAGAACAGAAAAACCCATTCCAATGGGGCCCAAAACTCACTGTTCTCTGATGTTTCCCCATCCGGCCGCCATTTTCGCGCCCTCGGTAAGCAAGGCCAGGGTGTGAAAACGCTGCGCGTGGCCGTTTTGGGCATCCAGTGGCCATTTTGGAACTGCCGATCAGCTGTTTTTAAAAATCGCTATGCGAAAATCGGTAAGCGAAACGCTTACCGATCATCGCAAAGCGATTTTCAGCCATAGAAAGCATCGGTATGCAATCGCATTAGCGATCCCAAAAAAACAGATCGCTATGCGAATTCGTCGTTAAACGGTGCGCTCGTTATGCGAGGCACCACTGTACAGTGGTGCCTAGCTTAACGATTACCTTGTTAAACGATGAAACCACTTTACGATGAAGTTTTTGCAATTGCTATTGTAATTGCAAAACAATGTTCCTATGGGGGAAATCGCTTAACAATGATCGGCTCCCTGCTTCGGGAACTGATTTTTCGCTAGACAATGATTTTAAAACAGCTGATCGACAGCTCTAAAATGGCTGCCCGCTGTGCAAAATGGCTCCCTGTTGTGCTTTAGGACAGATTCCTCACTTTACAGGCACCGGAAAATGGCCGCCCTATGGAGGATCTTCGCAAAACGAGCAGGTATTTCGCCCATTGGAACGCATTGAACCGGTTTTCAATGCATTTCAATGGGTTTTTAAATTTCGCTTGGCGAGGATTTCGCTTAACAGCCATTTGAACGGAACGAATTATCCTTGTCAAGTGAGGCACCACTGTAGATGAACTTTGCTTAAATACACGTATGTGTTAATAAGAAAAGCAACTGCAACCAATACAAATCTAGATGAACCAAAATATACAGCAATGAATATATTTTAAGTACAGACAAACCGATCTTACACACACTAAATTCAGATACAATGAAGCCTCGAGATCCTCTGTATGCTCCCTTTTCAAACTTATAAACTTGCAGGGATTTGGCATTCTGCCTGAACCATTACTGTTTAATGGCAACTTTTTGAAATGTGCTGTACTTCAAAAAGAGTGAGTATTTTCCATCATGAATTTCAGAAGGTCCTCAAGTTGTGTCTGATATTTAGAGGGCTGAACTCCAAATCATACTTCCTACTGTTCAAACAGCTTTCTTACCTGCATATCTAGTTCATGGCATCTCTGAGCAATTTCTTCTTTGGTTGCTAAGGCTTCATTCAATTCTTCTGTTGTTTTCTTCAACTATGTTTTCAAAATACAATTAATTTTCCTTTACTGAAAACAATTTAATGCAATCATTTTTCCAGGGCTCTGATCCAAAGAAATCATTTATATGCACAAGTAAAAAAATGCACATGGAAATATAGTACACTTTGACAAAGTACAGTGGTGCCTCGCACAATGGGCGCCTCGTCAAGCGATGAATTCGCTCTACGGGGCCGTTTTTGCGATCGCAAATGCGATCGCAAAACGGTGCCTGCATAGGGCGGAAATCGCAGAGCGAAGGGCGGTAAGTGGTTCGCTTACTGACCTTCGCTTTGCGCCCCGCCAATCAGCTGTTCGGCGGCTACAAAATGGCCGCCGGATGCCCCAAAATGGCCGCGCGAAGCGTTTTTGCGCCCTCGTAAAGCGAGGGGAGGGCGCGAAAATGGCTGCCGGCCATAGGGAAGCATCATTGAACGGTGAGTATTCGGCCCAATTGGAACACATTAAACCATGTTTAATGCGTTTCAATGGGCTTTTCTTGCCCTGTTCAACAATGCTTTCACACAGCGAGGGTTAATCCGGAACGGATTAACCTCGCTGTGCGAGGCACCACTGTACTGTACTTGCAAAATTTCTGTTGGTGCAGCAGCAAACTACAGTATTTTTGATCTAAGGACCACAACAAGTTGAATGAAAATGAAACTACCTAGGTGCACCTGATCCCTTTACTCATAAACAAATGATTTCTTCAGATTGCAGTACCAAAGCCTATGATTATAGTTACTTCTTTTAAAAGGGCAATTACTCCCATGGTTCAATAGGAAGTTTTAGATGAATAAGAAATATAAATTACACACAGCAAAATTTCTGTTGGCGCAGCGGCAAAATACAGTATTTTTGCTCTAAGGACCACAACACGTTGAATGAAAATGAAACTACCTAGGTGCACCTGATCCCTTTACTCATAAACAAATGATTTCTTCAGATTGCAGTACCAAAGCCTATGATTATAGTTACTTCTTTTAAAAGGGCAATTACTCCCATGGTTCAATAGGAAGTTTTAGATGAATAAGAAATATAAATTACACACACTATACATTCCAGGGAGAATACTGCACACAATGTTTAAACTTTTTCAAAACCACTTTTCTTTATAAATGTGAGGAATGAATTGTGTCCATTTAAAATCTTTTTTTGCATATGACACAAAAGACTGGGAACTGGAAACACAAGGAATAATGACAAAGGTTAAACCTCCGAAGATCCATTCCATAGTTCTGTGCTTCTATTCCCACGGGGAGGGGGACCTGCACTTGCTTGTTTAGAGGCACAGGCAACTGCTTTTTTCTAGCTCAAATTAGCCCACTACACCAGTATGCTCTACTCCAACTCTAGTGATGAGGGAAAGATCTTTCCAAACACCTGAATGTGAATGTTGTGCATGAAAAGCACATTGTACACGAACAAACTACAAGATAACCCCAGATAAAACCCAGAATGGTCTCAACATTTATTTAAAATGACTAACATTCATCACAGTTATGATGAGTACATCCTTTTTTATAATACTTCTCAGATATTAGCAATGATGATTTGGGAATGAATCATGGTATCTGGAAGACTAATCCCAAATAAAACCCAGAATGGTCTCAACATTTATTTAAAATGACTAACATTCATCACAGTTATGATGAGTACATCCTTTTTTATAATACTTCTCAGATATTAGCAATGATGATTTGGGAATGAATCATGGTATCTGGAAGACTAGTGATGTAGTGGCCAAAATCTTGGTGCTCAATGTAGTAAAACTTGTACTAGAGCAGGCCCAATGAATAAATGGAATGTGGTGAGTCAACTCCTCTGCAAGTTCCATTGATTCAAATAGGCTGACTTTAACACAGTTAATTACAGTTAAAGTGGGCCCATTTGAATCAATGGATTTTATGAAGAAGTTGACTCACCAAATCTCCATTGACTCAATGCACCTACTCTAGTGCAATTTGCTATGCTAAGCAACAGGATTTTGGCCACCAGGAAATATTTATGTCATGTTGAACAAATTACAATTTTGAAAAATGCAAGGGCATTCCAAACACATTTTGGCATCCAACTATTTCTGCTTATTCTCTCCTTTAGTAAATGAAGCCCCGCACTATTGGGGCTCCATTCTTTTTTAGTATGAAAGAGTATTTGTAATCTTGAGACAGAATTATGCCACAGTTATATTACAGAAATAGTTACAAAACTACCCTCCATATTAGTTTACTATTAAATTATGCCAAAATAGATTATTTTATTCCGTTCTGCATAAACATATTTATTAGGCAAAACAGACTGCATTTTTTCATAACAAGCATCTTCCATTTACTTATATGATTTGAAGAGAAACCAGAGTATGCTTGTTTTGGAGGGTGTTATGATTTGACTGGTGATAAGCATCTCAATGAGTCATTATAATCACTTGTTTTTAAACTGGGAATTTTTTCTTATATCACATATTGTAAAAGTCTTTTGTCAGAAACAATAAAATTGTTGTTGGCTAAGTAAAGAAAACTTATCTTTACATATGTTGGCTGATACGTTGTTCATGCAACTATGCCTGGGTAAAAGTGGCATCATCAGTACTATGTGTGTGTAGTTGTGTGAACAGCACTGCAGCCATTTTATGAGAAACATATTTGTTGAAACATTTGCTTGATAGCTTAACAAAAGGCATAAATTCTTTTGACAAAGAAAGCTCAAGCAATGGAGTAAACAATCTTATTTGGTTGGCATAAAAATTACTTCTTTAAAAATGTTATTTCAATTGTACAGCATATATACCCCACTTTTGTCTTTTTTTATCAGTTCTTAAAACTGGGAAAGGGAATATGTTGCAAAAACTTTGACCACAAGTCTGGAAAATAAATTTAAATCACCCAAATACTGCACCTTTTGGAAAGGCTGTCAAGAAAATATGTGGTGTCTCACAAACATTAACTCTTTCATTATTGACCCTTAACTTCTGAGCCTTTTTGAGTTTATTAATAACTAATACAGAGTTTCCCCGAAAATAAGACAGGGTGTTTTTTTTTTAATTTTTAAAAAATTAATCTTAATTTTTGCTCCAAAAAACGCAGTATGAAAATAAGACAGGGTGGGGTTTTTTAATTAATCTTAATTTTTGCTCCAAAAAATGCAGTAGGGTTTATTTTCAGGGGATTTTTTTTTTCATGTACAACAATCTACATTTATTCAAATGCAGTTATTTCATCTTCTTTAGATGGCTGCACAATGGTGGAGGGTGGGGTTTCACTTAACTAGGGCTTATTTTTTGGGTAGGGCTTATAATATGAGCAACCTGAAAACTCATACTAGGGCTTATTTTCAGGTTAGGTCTTATTTTCAGGGAAATAGGGTACATTGATAAGAATGTTGCAGCTGTACTCAGGCATGTTTGCTGCTTAATTTGAAGTTTCTCTAAATATTTTTACAGATTCAAACAAGAAAATGCAAACTAAAAAGAAAAAAATGGGGGGAATGAAAAAGAAAAAGAAAGCTACAGTTAATTGACAATATGTCAGGAAGTTTGCACATTGAGCTCCACTAATTAAAGGAAGAAAAAAATATGCTGTTAGATACCTGACGGTCAAGATCAACGTAAGCATCATTTCCAGCAGAGACTGGAGATTCTTTACTCATCAACTGCAATTAGATTACACTGGATTAGAAAAAGCAAAAGGTTTATTTGTATTCGTTTAAGAAATATGGCAATCTAAAACACAAGGAAGCTTTGGGCGAGTCTGTAAATATATAAATATAAATCAGAGGTGAATAATCAAGAAAGTAACTTACATTTACTATTGATTCCACTAGTTAATATTTTGCATAATTTTCTTTGAAGGATGAAGGTGAGGTATTATCTCCATTATTGTAAAAAAGAACTTGAACATGCTTCTTAAGTTTCAACATCGTTTTTCAGTACCCCACTTATGCCAAAGTTATATACATATATAATTTTCATTACAGAATTGAATGTTCAAGATTTTGTTTTGTTTATCAAACTTGAATCTTCATAGCCTGAAGCTGCATACACAATCCAGAGCCTATCCAATGTGCTGATTACTAAGGATGATCCTTGGAGGTAGGATAGTTAACTTAGGGATGGTTCTAAAATTCTGAAATAGCCTGATTGTCAGCTGGTGCTGTGAAACACATCCAGACAACTTACTAACATACACTGGTGAATGGGTACACACATCCAATAACACATGTATCATACAGTACTGGGTTCATGTATGCAGGAAAATTGAAACAACAAGGACAATAAATAAATGTTATTTGTGTTATTTGTGCAAAATGTTTGCACATACTTATATTTGATTTTGCACCTAAGAATCAGGTGCAGAGTTCAAACAGAGCATGTCCTATGGTGAAGTCTCTCTCTCTTTCACACACACACACACACATACAATTTTAAGGAGTGGTTTTACCAGATTCATACCTCCAGTGAGTTTCCATGGCTGAATAGTGATTCAAACCCTGGTCTTCAGAGTCCTAGTTCATCACTCTATTCACTACACCCTACTGAGTATCAGTGGATTCCCTCTAGATATGGCAGCAATCATAGCTTATTCAAAGATCATATGCATAATCATTCTATAAAATGACTGCTATACAGCACTGTTGTAGTGGCCGACTTTTTGCACTGAAAGGGATTACACTAGATGACTGTTGATGTGCCTTCCACCTTAATCCTGTTGTTTTTTTCCAGACCAGGTTTGAAGTGATTTTTTGCAATGAAATCCAACTCAGAGGTATAAATTAAAAGGTATAAATTGGAAGCTATTTATAAGTCTTTACCAGCAGAAAGCAACAGAAAACAATCAACAAAGATGCAGTTTGCAAACAGGAGGATTTCACCTGGTACAGTATAAGAAAGGACCTTTGCCAAGAGAAACTTGCTTCTAATTAAGCATTGCAAAATGGTGGGAGAAGGAAAGGATGGATAACATGGCAATATATCAACTGCAGTGCTGCATGACAACTCTGTTTTTCCATATCTATCAGCCTCCAGGAAAGGAATGCCTCAGCTATAATAAAACGTTCTAGAATCTCTAGAATCTGTGCTTTTTTCTAGCAGCAGAGAGAACAACCAGTTTGTTGCAGCCAACTGACGAAACAAAATTCCTTTTCAAACTACTTCTAAATTCCTGGAGAAATACTATTCTAAAGCACTGTAATTAAAGTAAGTCTTTAGTTTAAATACCATTCAGATTGGAAGCATTCACATTAGTATTTAACATAAAACATTCAAATCTTTCTCTGGTAGTGAACTTTATATCAATCACCGCCTAGAGTGGTCTTAATTGACTAGATAGGCTGGATATAAATAAAATAAATTTAGTGAACTTTATATCAATCATTCTTACAACACAAAATACAAAGCTGTAATGTTTCACTACACCTTAATATCTTCTCCCTTCTTGACAGGATCAATCATAAGAAGTCACTCTTTCCTGAATTAATTAAGGTGTTAATAATAAGATCTGGGACTTGGGATCACCAAAGCCGAACAACACTCAACTTATTGATCTCAACAACACAGCCTCCCCACCAGTAGTTCTAAAATGTTATAGGAGCCACAGGGAAGGAAAGACAAGAAGGGAACTTAGTATCAATATCCAGAAGTTTCAGTCTTCTAGATTTAAAGAAAAGTGGAATTATTGATTAAACATTTAATCTACATTAGAAAATGTGAGTTTGCCTATAGGAGGACAACAAATACGGGGTATCACCAAGTTTCACTTATTCTGTGAATTGTTTCTTTCTGCTTAACTGAAAGAAACAGCTGTGATTTATGTTCTCTAACTTTAATATACCTTTAACCCAACTTCTTACCTCCTGAATAGCTGTCATGACAACATGCTGAACGGACTCTTCCATCAGCATGATGGTCTGGATATACTCTGCAAGAGAGCAATGTTGGCATGTTAAATAGTATTTATAACAATCAAAAGACTAAATACAGTGGTGCCTCGCTTAACGAGCGCACCGTACAACGACGAAATCGCATAGTGATCCCTTTTTTGGGATCGCTAATGCGATCGCTCAACGTTGTTTAGATAGGGCGAAACTCGCTTTGCGCAAATAGCATTTATAACAATCAAAAGAATAAATAGCTCTATAATTCCAGCAGAATCAAAACTTTCTTTTTCTCTTTTCTAAGAAAAGTTGACTTGTGTTTTGAATTGTAAACAAAGCAAAGGATATGTAAAAGGATTATTCCTACACAGAAAGGAAATGTCCCTATGACTTAACTATGACACTCCTCCTCACTTAGCATTAGTAATTTGACAAATGCAAACATTAAACAGAAGAAGGCGGACAAAATGACCGCCGGAAGTCCCGAAATGGCCGCACGCAGCATTTTCGCGCCCTCGTTAAGCGAGGGGAGGGCGCAAAAATGGCTGCCGGCCATCCCGGAACATCGCTGAACTGTGAGTTTTCAGCCCATTTGGAACGCATTAAACGATGTTTAATGCGTTCCAATGGGTTTTTTAAATCCGTTCAGCGATGTTTCGCTATAGCGAAGGTTAATCCGGAATGGATTAACCTCGCTATGCGAGGCACCACTGTAGCTCTATAATTCCAGCAGAGTCAAAACTTTTTTTCTCTTTCCTAAGAAAAGTTGACTTGTGTTTTGAATTGTAAACAAAGCAAAGGATATGTAAAAGGATTATTCCTACACAGAAAGGAAATGTCCCTATGACTTAACTATGACATTACTCCTCACTCAGCATTAGTAATTTGACAAATGCAAACATTAAACAGAAGAATGGGAACCTTTTGCTACTGAAGATACAGCCTTGTTTGTTCTTGATAAAGTTGCTTTTATATTTTTAATCGTATTTTAATTGTTTTATCTTTTTATTGCATTCAGATTTTTGTAAGCTGCCCAGAGACTTTTGGGTAGTGTGGGCAGCATATAAATTAAATAAATATGTATACTGTGGGCAAGGATAAATGAATTCATAATGCTTTCTCTAGTTATCTGGAAAACCACTTCTAGAGCAATAAGAAATATATCAATTAAAAATATATATTGACTATAAAGCCCTAAATGGCTTAGGACCTGGTTATCTAAGGACCGCCTTCTTCCATATGAGCCTGCCC